AGGTTTCGGAGTTCGCAGGGGAGTGTTGGGGAAGAATTGGGGGGTCAGTGCGGATCGCGTGGGGAGAATCGGAAGACGCGCTCTCCGAATCGGACGAACTCGCGGCGTTATATACCGCCAGCTCGCTGACGAGCCAGGGGGCATGATCGTCCACACGGAGGGGCTTCTGTTCCCGCATCATGCGCGATAGAAGGAAACGTCCGGAACGTACCCGCGCGCTCTAGTAGAGGGTCGCTACGGGGACGTAGCGAAAGCTAAGGGGGGAGGTCTGTAGTATAATGACCGGCGCGAGAGCGCGGAGGTCGCGCTCGCTACACGTGGGCGGCTGTGCCCACGTGTAGCGAGCGCACGCGCATGCCGAGCGGTCGTCATCTGGCGTACGTGTACAGTAGTGCACGTGTCGTCCGAGCGGTAGTCTACGCGTGTTACGTGTGCGCGTTAGCACACGTGTCGTCCGTGCGGTAGTCTGTAAGCAACACGCGTGTACAGTAGTGCACACGTGTAGTAGCAGCGTCCGTGCGGTAGTAGCAATTATGGCGCTAGTGTTTTAATTGTGTACAGTACCCGGCACGCACTAGGCGGCAGATACTGTACTACTGTACTGGGACAGGTGTCCGAGGCGTCCCTCTGCGGGGTTAAGACCTGGCACCCGTCCCCACCAGTAAACGGGGGCAAGCTCGCCCCCGTCCCTTTTGCGCCTACGTACGTCCGTTTTCGGTTGTCTGTCGCGCGCGCTGGCTTCTAACCCGTTACTGGTCGCTCCCGTTCACGCACCACGGGGCGACTGCGCGTAACCGGCCAGTGAGCCACTCCCTTTTCGCGAGCTCGTCCGATCGGTTCAATTAGCGCGTGGCGTCCGCGCCGCGTGCTCCCTCGCTAAAGCCTCCGCCTCTCACCCAACCCAGGGCGGAGAGGAGTTATCCCACACTCGCCGCGCGTTGACCCACGGGGCCCGCCGCCAGCGCTGGGTGAAAGGTAGGGACCGGCGTGGCTGGCGTCGTAGGGAGCGGAGCCCGAGGGGGGTGACCCCGCTGGGATGATCGGTTGTCCATGCGGGAGGAAGACAGGGGGATGAGACGAGATGTGGAAGTGGAGATAGTGGGGTGCGTGGTGTGGGGTGATGTGGGAGAAAAGGAAAGCGTGAGGGGACCCATTGCCGCGCCAGGGGATCCGACGCGGTTAAATACCAAAAACTCCATAGGCTCCCCTATGGGGTTGGCCGTAGTCCGCCCGCGCCCCCGTGGTCGGCGCGGGCTTCCCCTTTCGGATGGGACACCCTGCAAGTTGGTCATGTCAACCACCAGCCGCGACGGGGACGTGTCGCGAAGTAAGGAAGGGGGTCTGTGGTACAATTCCACACCGCGACCCCCGGTTGGAGATGAGAACCGTCGGGACGGGCGGTTACTACTGTAGTAATCGTGCACGCGCCCTCTGAAAGCACAGTAGTACCTCCTCCCGGGCGTACACGTGGCACAACCGTTGGCGTCGGTCGTGGCCACGGGCACACGTGTGCGACCCGTCCAGTAAGTAATTAGCAATTAGTGGTTAATGGTACAAATTAGCCAATTTAGTACAGTAGCTGGTATACAGTATGTAACAGCTACTGTAGCCGGACAGGTGTCCTGGCGTCCCACTTAGGGGTTAAGACCGGGGGCCCCTGCCCCGTTCCAGTAAACGGAGGCAGACTCGCCTCCCTTCCCTTTACGGCTTTTTGCTAACTCCGTCTGGTTTTACCTCTAAGTCTCAGGCTTCTAACCCATGACCGGCTGTGTGGTTATAGCACCTCTACTCAGCTGCGCGTCACCGGCCACGTGTGCCTTCCCTCTTTATGAGTTCTTCCGATCGGTCCGCGCTCGCGTGGGTACCCCGCGTCGCGCGCTCCCTCACACTAATCCCCCCTCGCTTCCGAGTAGTCGGGACGTGGGTAGTTATACCACAGGCGTCATTGCTTTAACAAACACACAGTAGCAGAGCATTATTACTAAACGATTCTACGACAAAGAGTTACAATGCGGCAAAGATTGGGACTACTGTACCCCAAAAACACCTGCTGGACCCAGGGATTAAGTCCTTAAAGACTCCTGGATAACTTAGTTATCCAGAAGTCGGGGGCTTTAGGGAGCGAGCACACAGTGCGTTAGAGCTGCAAGAATGGGATGCAGTCTTTGTTAAGGAGACCAGTACACGGAATAACTACATATACTTTCGACTGCCTCAAATGAGGCAAACGAAGCCTCATATGAGGAAAAAAGTGTGTCGAATAGACACTAGTGTCTAGCCGACAATCAAAAATCCTCAATTGAGCACACGTGCTTTCCTCATTTGAGCCGCATGTATCTGACTCCCTTTACGAGCGATGGGAAGACCCTCCCACTAAACGCAACACACACTCGTGATCCGTATGGTATCGCAGTTAATACCAGAGCGATAAATGGCAGCATCTAGTGCTCTAATTCAATATGTACAGCAAAACAGTCCCTGACTGAGCGGTTGCTGCAGAAGTAACGCTCAAAATTGCCTTGTTCCAGGCATACACTACAAACTTCTATAGACTTATGCCTCTTGCAAGACCCACATCTTCCTTGAAATGCGTAGTTGCTGTATTTGCCATTGATTTTGCGACGCTTAGAGGTCCTAACCAGGCATGGGCTCCGCATAGGTGATTTTGTAGAGTTTGATTGTTCCCCAGACCAGGAACTTGGGCTACCATTGCGCACTGTGGCGGCGTTGTCGTATTTGTTGTCGATTAAAGCCTCTGAAAGAGCCTCATAGAAGTCACCTTGTAAAAAGCTGCACTGTTCCGCATGCGAAGATTTGTAAAGCTTCCACGCGTCCACGATACAGAACCCCAGAATTCCAATATTGAGTCTCTTGTCCCATTTCTGAACGCGAATCATTCGTTCGAGCTCAAGGTCATCCTGACGGCACCTGTTGTGCTGATCAATACTTGCACAAGTATCGTAGTAGCGTTCCACGACTTTTGGCTGTCGTAGGGAAAGATGCACTCTGCGTGGACCAGTGCTGGTCTGACGCCACCGCACTCGATCGCATGGACTTCCATCGGTGCTGTTGCTGGCAGTCGCGATAAAGTATCGTCTATTCCGGCCCACCCATGCCAGTGCCATTAAAGATTTTCCTGTGTCATGTATGTCGCATCGTAGAGTAGTCTGCTGTCCCCTTCCCTCCATTTCCACCTGAATTAGATACTTCATGGGAAAGGCCCGTGTGGCAGTCTTGACCACGCCTATAAAACGCAATCCAAGCTGTAGAAGCTGTTCTGCTGACTGCACTGATGCGAAGTAGGAGTCAGCACATACCACACGGTCTGAGTATATCCAGGGGTTGACGAGGCGTTTTAGGACAGCTGTCCCATGGTTACAGCTGCCCTCGAACGCTTTTCCTGTTTCGTCCGTCGCACCAGTAACTATTTCTATTCGTAGCATAATGCCGCTCCCCCCCATGCCAGGTTCTGAACCTCACAACCATCTTCAGGCTTGCGCTCGATACTTACGAAGTGGGGCAGGCCAATTTCGATCCAATCGCCACCCAAGCCGTACCATCGTATCATAGACTCATCCAAACAAAGGTAATCGGATGGTTCTACATACCTGTACCGGTGGTCGTTAAAAGCCCTGAAAAAGTCGTTGACAAGAGCCCAGCGATGTTGCGCAGACGTCCACCCTGCCTCTGATGGCTGGGCGCTAAATGTCAGTGAGCCGAACAGGGCCTCGAAGGGGCTGCGCCCCATTACCTTCGAGAGGTAAGGACGAACAAAGTACTTGGAGGCCGATTTTGCTTCCCACAATCTCCGACGATCTCCTTTAGCATATCGAGATATTAAAATTAAAATTCCAAAAAATCGTAGAATCTCACCCGCCGATGTGCCTCTCTGATGCTTGGAAAGCAGTGCACTCGATGTCAGCTGCACTATGCGCCCCAGAAAGCGCATTGGAAACATCGAATAGAAATAATATTCTATTCCTTTCCCTGCTGGTGCTCCTCTTTCGCGTATGTCGGAACCATCAAAACCGATCACCTTCCAATGCTTTACGGGGACAGGGCCGTTGATGTCTGAAAGTACTGCAGCCTTGCGCCATACTTTGCCATGGACCTCAACGGTGCCCTCATCAGAGAGACTGTAATTGGGCGCCGTTGGTACTGTACTCGGAGCAGCGGGGGCGACAGTTTGGTGAGGCGTTGACGAGGACAGGACAGCCGTAGCCTCAAACTCGGAAATCAAGTTTCGCTGAGTATCACTGTCATGGGGGGGCTGTTGGACATTTGGTGAACGTACTTGTGCAAAAGGATCTTCTTCGTCGTCGGGGGGAGGGGTTCGAGCGGTCTGAATCGGTGATGACGGTACAGGCTCACGCCCAATAAAGTCTGGCGTTCCGTCCGGTTGCGTGGGAATCGGGCAGGGACCAGTCTTAACAAACCGCAGCTGAAGAGCTCTTCTTATTTTCTTTGATCCTACCACCCATGCTCCCTCAATAAACGTGACGCGATTCTTCTTGCCCTGCTCTTGTCGAGTGTTTTCAACAACACCTGCAACTGTCCTTGTATTCCATAGGGAACCGTATCGACGCTGACACTCAGCGTTGCTGGTCACGTAGCGGGCTTTCGTGTGCACTTCAGCACCAACAATGAGGCGAGAGTCCTTCCCCATTTTAAATGAACGGCGCTGATCCACGGAACAAATTGATGGGAGTGGTAAGAATGGAAGGGTCTGGGAAACAGGTGGGTTTCAATATTCTCGAGACTTCTTCAGTGGAATGGTTGCACAAAAAGGCGGGGTACTGACCCATACGGTCTCTGGTTTGTGTGGTGTTTCGGTATTGCTACAGTCTTAGCGCCAAAACTGTGTATTAATTCATGCAGTTTTCCTCAATTGAGGAAAATTGTCGGCTAGACACTAGAGGCCCGGGAACTAGAAGTCGTTATAGACTGGGACCAACTACTGTACTGTGTAGCTTTTCGTGCTGTGCGCAGTTGAGTGATTCTCCTCTAGTCAGGTTTAAACGTAGGTGAACGAATATTCTCGCATATTATATATAAATACGTTAAGGTTCTAAGATATGTTAAGCCTCATATTGCTGTCGCTACATGCGCCATCAACACTGCACAGTTCCCTCTTATGCAGACATTAGCTGCGCAACGATGAATCTTTTGCACCTATTGCAGCCGAGGAGTGCGCGTCCGCACCCTGCTCGGCACGTAAACTACTACATGTGAACGAAACAGAGTGCCATCTTCTAGTAGTCGCCAGTCAGGTCTTCTGGCAAACCTCCCCGCAGAGCAAGAACTCATGTCAACTTTTCCCCTGCGAGCCCCTGCTCTGTGGCACGCGTGCAGTAATCTGCTTCCTAGATCCGCGTACCATGTCCGGGCCTCCTCCTTCTTGAACCACTTGCTAGGTTCTTGCCGGACTTCGCGAAGTTCAGCCCACACATGCAAACCTGCTGGTCCCGTCTGCATGATGAGGCACCGTCCACTCATTTCCTGATCCCTGCGAATAGTTAGAGCCAACTTGTTCCCAGACTTGGTGACCACGCCTTCCTTGTCCAGTCTGCCGATGTCATCAATATCAAACAATACCCAGGCTTGCACGGATGCCTCCCACGCAGCCGGCACGGAGATCAAGCGTCCCGTAGAAGAAGTGATGTCTCTCCACGCTGACGGCTTCATCGCCGACACGGACACCAGCGGCGTGGGCAACCATTCCTCTGACTCGACAATCTCGCCATCCTTCCGGCTCCCCGCATCCGACCCATCATCGGCCAAACTGACAGATTGCCTCGCAAACCACGCAACCTCCTCCACCTTCCTCGATGACGTCGGCCCCTTGCTCCTACGCTCACTCCACAACAGCACTTGCATCGGACACGTTTGTCTCGCCATCGTGCCAACCGTGCGCAGGCGATTGCCATCCAAACTCACCTCCCCCGTCGTACTCGGATTCGTGGCAATACGCAAAGAAGCCGTGACATATGCCATATCAATAACCTCTCCCACCCTCGAAATGCGATTCTTATTTCTCAACACGCACCCACCAACAGGTCCATTCGCCTCTCCCTCCTTCCCTTCCCGGCGCTTTGCCCCATCGGTCATCTCCGCGACACTCGGGACATCCTCGTCGCCCTTTTCTTGCCTCGTACCCATCTGCGTCCTCTTATACTCCGCGATAGCCTCCTGGACCCTCGCCGGGGAGCGTATCCTCCTCTGCGGCGTGCACAGCGCGGCAGAATTATCCGGCAAATAGTGGACCCTCCACGTCATCTGCCTCCCCGCACCAGTACCACTCTCTAAACACACAGGACACATGGCCCCCCCTGTGATACCATCCGCGTTCATCCATAGCATCAAGCTCGGCTTGCGATCGCCGTTACTATGCGCCTCTCCCCGCGGGCACTTTGCCGAGACAGTGCGTAGGCCTGGCAGCGGCTTCCTTCTCAACTGCACAACGGCCTCTACATCAACCGCGGTCCACGGCGCGGCGCCCTTCCCGGCGTCAACCAGGCCGTCATACAGCGCGTCCTTAATCGCCACGCCGCTCTCCGCGCGCTCCTCCGCGACCTGCAGCAAGTCTTCGGCGACCTGTACAATGGCAGCCAGGTCGCGGTACTCCAGAAACAAGTGTCGTCCATACCTTCCGCACTCCCTCAGGTGTCTCAGCATAGCGCCGCGCGCGCGCGCGTCGGCCGTGGAGACCTCCTCCCACTCGAAGAGGGCGCGCAGGGCGGGCCATGCGCGCTGCTCGACTGCGTAGCGCGTGGCCTTTTCGCAGGACGCGGCCATCCGGGCCGTGGCCAGGACGTAGGCGGGGCCGATCTCGACGTACAGCAGCGACGGGGCGGCCGGCAGCGGGCGCGCAATGGACAGGATGAACGAGGCGCGGCGGTAGAAGGCGCGCAGGCAGGCGCGCACG